CCCCCCCCATCTGCCTAAGCCTCTGCTTTCTCCTTCAAGCTGCAACCAGGAACCAACTGTCACGGTCAGCGGCCCCGCTGCCCCCCCATCTGCCTAAGCCTCTGCCTTCTCCTTCAAGCTGCAACCAGGAACCAACATTTATATCTTCAAACAATCATCCCACAAACTAAATCATTTCCTTCCATTTCTAGGTTCTGTCTCTGTCTGCTCTTTATATTTTTGTTGTTCTGCTCTGTGTGTGATTTTCTGTTTATCTGATTCTGTTATTCTCCACTCACTCCTCAGTCTGCCTCTCCACTCAATCTTTATCATTCACACCTGTCCCTCATCAGCCACCTGCCCAGGTGCTCTCGTTACTCACTCTCCCTCTGTCTCATAAAAAGCCTGTCTCTCCTTCACTTTTTGTCCGGTGATTGTTCTGTGTTTACAGACATCTCAGTCCTCTTCTGTCTTCTCTGTTTCTTGTCCACCTGATCATCTGCTCTGCCTTGTTCCTGATCCTGTTGCCCAAGTAAGTTTTGTTGCACCGACAGCTTTTGTTTTGTTATTGAAATAAATTGTTTTTGTTTTTGAACTCCTGCCTCGCTCGCCTCTCTGCATTTGGGTTCCAACACTGAGGATCGTGACACTTTTGCAGCTTCACAATAAATAATTTCCATGTGTTTAAGGTTAAACATGGGATTTTTATGGAGTCTTTTGTAGTTGGTAAGCCAAGTTTTATCTGCATCTACTGGTTTCACTAAGTCGAAGTCAACATCATTTGACACCCTGGATTCCTCATCTACTTGTGCCTGCAAAGCAACATTACTTACCTTCAGGTGCTCACCTGCTGTTCCACCACCAGCCCTGCAACTTACCTGGAATACCCTCCTCTCAACGCATCAAGATCTCCATTTCTGAGTAAGAACTAAAGAACCTGAGATAACCATTATTCCTTCTTTATCCTGGACTTGCTTTATCCCTCTTTCCTCAGGTTTTCCCAGGTTCCCTTGTAATATACTGTATTTTGTAAATAAACCACTTTATATCAAGAGTTCGAGTCTGTTTTCCCTCAGTCGGGTTCTCTCTGGGTTTAACCTCACAATCGTGATAGTTTCCTATTGAGGCATTTTTCTTCTGCAAACTTTGTGGTATATTCTCTGTTCAAATATCAAAACATTCAGTGCATTCAGGAGATTTATGGTACGATTATCAGAACTTTAATACTTTTGAAAATACTTTACTGAAAAATGTTTTCTATGCGTGGCAGTAGATGGTAGTTAGTGCCACAGTCTTGTGATCCTGAGCCTGAGATTTCAACCCAGGTTGTGTCAGGAAAAATATTTGACATTAAACAATTGCCAAAACGTTAATGCAAATTTGTACACTATGTAATCCCTGCAGAAGGAACTAGTAAAAAAAAAAAAACTTTTATAAACATCTAAATACAAATGTACCTTCTCCTTGGAAATACATTGAGATCTCTTAAATTCCTGTGAAAACATTTTTTTAATCTTTAGCATTTTTATTTATTTATTTTTTGCTCCATTTGGTCATCTACTTTTTTTTTTTAAGCTCCTATAGTCAGATTTGGCATTTAGCTATCCTGCTGTTAATTTAGCTTCCAGTTAGTTTTTGGACACTTTTAGTTTATCTTTCACTACTATGTAACTGATGTAACGGATGTAACTGGGACCCTGTCTACACAATTTCGCTCCACCACATGTACCACATGTGGTGCAAATGACAAATAAAGAAAATCTGACTCTCTGACTGACTATTATTAGCCTGAATTACTTTTAGTCTCTAAATACCTTTTTGTTAATTTAAGTCAGTATTTTTGTTAGTTTTAGGTAGTGTTTTGTTATTTTTGACCATTTAGCTAGTCTTTTTCTGCTATAGCTTTTAGCAAGCTGTTTGCTGGTTTAATCAAGCACTCTGCTATTAACTAGTCTTTTGCTACTGTTAGCTTTAAGTGACCTTATTGCTATTTATAGTTTTCAACTAGTGTTTTTGCTCCTTTTAGCGAGAGTTCTGCTTCTTTTAGCTTGAACAACTCAGTTTCTTCATTTGCAAAAAAAATTTGCAGCCATTTATCACTCAACTATCACATTGCTTTTTTGCAGAAGATGCTATTTCTCTAATTTTTAGTTTCACTAAGGGCCTTTTTTAAGGCTGTTCACATTTAATCATTGCTTATAAGAAGTTCTTTTCACTCACACCATGTTTTGTTGTATGTAAAATTACGTATTCAAACAAATCTGCATAAAAAACATTTTCATATGTGAAAGCCATAAAATGAGTAGAGTATTGACCAATATAATGTAAAATGGATACCTGATCGAAAGAAGGTGTGACATGGATTCAAACATCTTTTATGGCCCTCTGGAAGCTCTCTAGGTGAGTAATTCAAATGCAGATGAGTAGAAATGCGACTTGACTGAATGGAGATGATGTTTCCACCAACACCTGAGAGAGAAAGACAATGGTGGTCTCAGCTGTTTGGTGGGAAGCAAACCAGTAAATAATACAAAATAAGTCATTACTACTGAAATGTAACTAATTAACAATAACACTAAATATACTACTAATAAAATGATAATTAAACAATATTTACTCAAATAAAAAAATTACGAGTGGAATGTTCAGTGACGGTGGGGTGCTGTTGACCTAAACCAGTCTATGTGAGCTTCTCTGCTCAAGTTGCTGCCCCCACACCCCCCTAATCCGACTTGTTCGGAACAAGTGGAAGATAATGGATGGATGGATGGATGGATGGATGGATGGATGGATGAATGGATGGATGTAACTATATTTCTGTATTTATATTATGTAAATTAGATGTTTTGTATTAACAATCGCTACATCCTCAAATTTTTCACCTCAAATTTTTTTTTTTTTTTTTGGGGGGGGGGGGGGGGTTGGACCCAAATATTTACATAAAAATAACTTGACATGGACTTTTCTTACCCAGCACACATCCAGCTGTACAACAAAAAAAAACAGATATTTCGAGCAACATATTACCATTTATGACTGGAGCGTAAATGACGATTCCCATCAAGTTTGGATCGGACACAGTCTTGTCTAGAATAAGACCTCCAATACTAAAATAAATAAGAAAAAAATACATATATTCATTGATTATTACACTTCTATGATAACTTTACAATAGTCCCTCGTTTATCGTTTGGGATCCATACCATACCCTTGTCAAGTAATGTCAGATTTGATGAAATCGTCCCCTGCCCACAAGAAACATTATAATAGATCAAAACGGTATTATGTGATTAGAATAGAGTAAAACTGTATGTTGAAATTATGATAGATTAAGAATGTATTACTTGATCTGTGGTTCTCCACTCCACTTATTAGAGTGCATCTGAGCATGAGTGGTTCTCCATTTAGAGTAACCGCACAAGAGCCCTCAGACTGTGAAAGCATGGCGAACACAAGGGAGGCCTGACGCGGATGTATGTACAGAGGTCATCTCTGCTTCTAGGCTTCGAATCGTCTGTGTGCATGCTTAACAGTTACAGAACAAGTGATGATTGCTCCTCTTTGTGAATAATAAAAAATAACACTCACATGTTAGAAACCAGAGTAAACAGGTAATTATTATTAAAATAGATAAGAAGAAAAGTATTGTACAAAATTCAAGCTGAAATGAATGGTACAATTGAATGTAATCATTTTAAAGTGTGCTGATGACGCTGTTCCCCTGCAAATTATTAATTAAAGCAAAGCAGAAAATGTAAAACTCTGGACTATCATTGTATCACTTCGTGCTCATTTAAGAAACTTGGTTCAATTCAAGGGCGTCAGAAGCATCCGTAATGTGTGGGGGACACAATGATGTGTGTAGGGGTGTGTGTGTGTGCACGTGCGTTAAAAAAAAGGTGTTCACTAATGTACAAAAAAGTAACATTTCACCTAGATTTCCTTTAATTCCACACATTTAAAAAATGTTTCTCACCAAGTTTGTGTGGGAGACATTTTAACTTTAATACAGAGCGTCAGATCTGCACTATTTGTCTTTAGAGAAATAAAAAAAATCACCACTGGACTTTTTTACTTGTGTTCAACACTACTCATCTAAATGATGTTTCTCATGAAGCTTGAGGACAATAAGGTGAGGGGTTTTAAGGACATTTCAACTTTAATGCACCTGAACACACAGCATCTCTTACACCTGTAGCATCTTACAGCGTCACAGTTACTGCAAAGCTAAGATGCTACAGATGTAGCGCTCCTCTCAAACATCCTCCTAACATGAATATATGTTTATGATCAACCCCCCCCCGGTCAACAACTGCCCACACAAAGTTCGCTAAACTGGCGAGCGAGTAACACAGAGGTGTCTCCATCTCCTCCACCTGTGCGCGTTTCATGCTGAAGCAGGAGGAGACACACAAAAACACTGCAGGTGTTACACCATATTCTGTGAGCACCGTATATTGTGACCGTGGCAACAGGCTGCTGTGTTTAGAGTTGGAGGTAACCAGGAAAACCTGGAGTGGAGTTTTAGTGGTTTGAGTATTCTCCTATTAATCAAGTGGAATGGATTTGTTCACGAAGAAAGAGAAACTGCGCTGCCTGAACTAATGTTTTATAGTAAAAGTGGGGGGGTCCAAATGAATGTTTTTGGAATGTGGGGGGGACTTGTCCCCTTCACATATAATGGTTGCGATGCTTCGTGCTCATTTGAGAAACTTGGTTCAATTCTAACAAAAAGGGAGGTTTTTAAAGGTTTCTTAGCTTTGATTAAACAACACCCTGGAATCTTATGCCTATTCTAAAAATTACCAGATCAGTAACAATAGTAGTTCTACAATCGAAGGTGAGCGACCGTGGAATATGAGTTTCCCTGTGAATGACGAACCAACTCCAGCTGCTAAGTTGGGCGAGTCACGGGGTGAGATAAGGGTGTGACTCATAGATGGAGGTCATTAACAAATCTGGATGAGTCACCTTCAACACAGCCTTAAATAGAACTAGATTATGGTAATTCTGGGTAATACTCAAGTGCTAGATTTAGTCTACAATACCCCTTGGAGGAGAGGCTGCATTGGGGTAAGCAGTAACTCATGTGGTAACCCTGCTGGGTAGAAAAACAATGGCTAGTCCGCCCCTGGGCTGTCCGAAGCTATTGACAAAACATCCGAGGCTTTAGCCCTGGAGGCCCAGGTCTAACTACGCACCTGGTCTTAGGCCCCATTTACATGGACACGGTGGGGATTTTTAAGTTTTTTTCAGATGATGATTCGAAGAAAAAATCTGCATTGACATGGAGCACATTCGGTGTTTACATGTAACCGTATAACCCCCACCCCCCAAGAATCCGAAGTTGCCATGCCAGGTCATTAATTGGTGCTGTGAATTTTGTACATTCACCTAATTTTCATGCTGCCTGGGACAGCTGTCTGTAAGGTCCTTCTTCTGGGCTGAAAGCCCAGTAACAACAAAATCTAAAGCCAGATTTTGGATATGAGTCGATGAATTTGATGCCAAAAGCGAGCAATTCGTCTAACAGCTCGACACTGGTCGCTGAGCGAACCAGCACTGACGAGGATGATGTCGGGCTTCCTACTCTGGTGGTAATCATTTGCTGTCTATCAATGGTACAACACGTAACTCTATGTTCTGGATAATGTTTTGCTTATGTTTACTTTGGTTACACAACAACCAACTGAGTTTTAATTTTATTTTTCCTGCGAGGAGAAGCTATCCTCCCACCAGAGGCAGACCGGTTCTGAAACAGAGCACTGTGGTGCAGGAGGACTGCAAAGAGAGAGACGTTGGAGCAACTATTCACTTAAAATTATCCTCAGTTCTTTTTTCCAATCCATTCAATGTTTTAAGCTACATTAAGCAAAGGAGTGACAGCCTGTACAAGCCAGATAAACAACATGGCGCCAGTAACCAGGATGACAACGGAAAGGAAGGGCAGTTCATTCATATAGTTTACAGTTTGGGTTGATGTGCTTTTAATAGTGTTCAGTTTTCATATCACAGTACTTGTGTGTCATACAGTTTGTAGTGTTGAATAAATAAATAAAAATTAAACCTGATGTCTTCATTTTCAACTTTAATAACAAGCAATATGTTTCGCATCATCGTTTAAATCACATAATTTGAATTGCATAATGTCCAAATAGCTTCATTTAGCTCAGATAGCTTAATCTCTGACCACTAACAAAAACATGGTTTGTTATTGTTGCTGTTATTATTTAGTACATTTTGTATGTTATACTCCAGCGCTCCACGTGAAATATACGCCTGCCTCGACAGGCTCGTTAGCGATTTCGAACTTGATCCGAATTGTGTCTCCTCCTAACACAGATGTTGGTCACAGCACCTACATTTTGGCATAGAGACCCATAAAATAGTTCATCAGTTGTAGCACAGAAAGTAGTATGTTACTCCACCACCATTGTTGTTGATAGGACTATGCCATTGGTCCGCGCATGCATGAAATATATGCCTGTAGTGCACATGTGCTTTAACACCTCAGCGGGGGACTATTGACACATCTGCGGGAAGTTACCCGAAAACCTCCACTCTGAGACCTGGGTTGAAAAACCTCTGGATTCAGTGAGGGCAGGGGCTGGTGTCGTGTAAATGACCTGCCAAACCGCAGAGAGAAAGGTGCGTTTTCACTCAAAATATGTGCCATGTAAATGGCCCCTTAGTGTCTGGGTTGTGCATTCCATTCTAGATGTGTCAGAAACAGTGTGATTGCTTTGCTGACAGTTTGCATGGAAACTTCCTCACCCTGACCTAGTTCCTCTTTCATAACTGCAGCTGTTGCAAGAACTGAAGCATACCCATGCACAGACATGAAAGTCTTGCATGATATCCTTTGTACTGAGGCGACAGCTACAAGAAAAGTTGGGTAACACGAAACTCAAGTTGCAAGTTGCAAGTTGCAAGTTGCAAGTGAGTGCAACACTTGTAACATGTTTGTTGTGCACTAGCATGTACAGTATAACAAACATGCTTTGATGATACAAGATGGGGTTAAGTTAACATTTGGTTGAACCAGCAATTTCACATTTACAGAAGTACATCATGTTTCTAATTTATTTATTTAACTTTTATTTAACCAGGAAAATCCCACTGAGTTCACAGATCTCTTTAAAAAAGCATATTAAGCGTATGGCCGAACCCGGGGATTGAACCAATAACCTTCTTGCTGTAAAGCAGTCCTTCTCAAATAGTGGGGCGTGCCCCCCTGGGGGGCCCAGAGCAATGCCAGCGGGGGGCGCATGTGACCCCGGGGAACATTTTGTGGCAGGGAGTAGTTTTATTTTTTCACCATTCTCATTTAGTCAGGGTGCGTTTAGCAACTGTTTGCTAAAATCCAACTCTCAGGCTCACTAATAATAAAGTTATGAACAAATATGTCTGTCTTGTCGTTTGGGGAGTCATGCTTGAACTGTGTCACTCCCCTCTGCTGCTGAGAAATAAATAACTCCGACACCTCCTCAGCTGCTGACGCCCTGGACGCTTGTCACCCACAGCACGCATGCGATGAGTCAAGCGAGAGCGTTACCTGCCCCTCTTTCACATTTTAATTTATTTATTTTAGTTTTTTTGTTTGTTTTTTTAGTTTGTCAAAGCACAACTTTTGTGTGTGTGTTTTTTTTAATACAGAAGTAATGTTTAATAAATGTTAGGACTCTATTCTTTTCTAACAAGTCGCTCTGGACGCATATCACCCACAACACGCATAAAACAAAAAGTATAAACTCAAAGCGAGAGCGACACCTGCCCCCTCGTTCTTCTTTCGCGGTGACAAATTATTTTAGATTTATCGATTGTCAAAGCACAATTTTGATGTTTTTTAATTTGTTGTAAAAACAGATGTTCAACAAATATTAGGACTCTATTCTTTGCTAACAAAATATATTTTATGTCATTAAACAACTTGTCAGGTTCTTCTCTTGTGAGCTCTTTCCCCTGGAACCCCCCCCCCCCCCCCCCCCCAAAAAAAAAAAAAAAAACCGCCAGCTCTACGCTCTTTGCAACTTCTCTGCTGTTGCTGCACTGAGACCAAGTCCAGGTCCAGCTAAACATTGAGCAGGAGCTGAGATTTGCAGACTCATGTGTCAAACTCCACTTTGAAAAGCTGTGACTGCAAAACGTGCTCATTCAGCACAAACTGTTTTATTCATTTTTGTTAGGTCAAAGTGTTGTACAACACTCCTGAGTTAAAATGTTGCTGATCGATTTGAATTTATTATTATGTATTGATTGTATTTAATTTGATTGTTCAGTATCAAATGGTCACAAATGTTTACAGTTTAAATAAGGATGGATTTTTTTTTTTCAGGCAAATTGATGCACTTTAAATTTGTTACATTTGCTATTTGTTTTGGTAAAATAACAGTAATGCAACATGCAGCTCAAATGTGAGCATTTTAGGATCTTCAGCTCCAAAACCTTCTTCTTGTCGAGCAGTCTGGATTTTTGGCAGAAAAACTAACTTCGAGCTGAGAAAGATTAAAAAAACTGGGAATGTACATACACACTGTCTGTACATGCCATCATGAATTCAACTTGGAATTTATTCTCAAGTACCTGCTGATGATCATTGCTGCAATGATTGGTTCCCAGCCTGTGTAGAGCAGGATGTGACTGGCAGGGTGTTTGGAAGAGGCGGTCATCCAGATGGGTATCAAACATAAATAAAAAAGATCAACCAGGTACAGCACGTAGGGGTAAAGATCTGTCAAAAGAAATTCTAATGAGTTATACTTGCATTTATTTCTAGGAGATTATAAAAACTGTGATAGGTCGCTGAAATTTGAATGTTGATGAAGAAACTCTCTTCAGTGTCCTGGTTTATCTTATGCAAAGTGACCAACCAAAGCACAAAGTCCATTTTTCTCTCACCCATAAAGGAGTAGAACCACTGACTGAAGCACACCAGCAAGGCGAGAGTGATGAGATCTCCAAAGCTAGCAGCTATTGGTGTGGCCACATTATCAGGATTAATTCCCATCCGCTTACAGCCAATAATCACTCCCACCATAATAATACCTGGAAAAAGATTAAGAGAAGCTGAAATTCTTCAAGATAAGGTGTTTAGTTTTTTGGAATGAGCATTGAAATATTTGCCATTGTTTTAACTTAACCATCTGTTATGGCAGAAAAGTTACAGAATTTAAACATTCATTCATTCATTTCATTCAACCTTTATTTATACAGGCTAGCCTCATTGAGCCACGAGGACTCATTTGCAAGAGGGACCTGTTCCAGACAGGACATATAAAGTACAGACAACAAAACAGTAGACAATGACAACAATAAACTACATTTAAAATAAGAGTAGTGTACAAAACAATAAATCAGGGTGGGTGAAATACTAAAAATAAGAACATATTTGCTTTTATCTTTCTATTGACATTATCAAATGTTTGAAACCCTGTAAAGAAATCAAGGAGGACAACTTCCTGTTCCTGTTGCAAGGTGTTCCAGGTTGCAGGAGCTGAGTAAAAAAAGGCCTTTTTGCCAAGTTCGGTCGGCACTGAGGGAACGCTGCAGGTAATGATGGACTGAGAGCGCATGTTGTAACTGCACGGACGGCGCGACATGTGAACAAAACAAAAATGTCTTCAACTGTTTGGTATTAAAGAAGACAAGACAGCTAACTGCTGTAGAGGTAAAAATGTTAAGGAAGTATTGTTGGGTCATTTAATTATCCTATTATCAGCTCATTAAATAATTAAACCACACAAGAAAGGAGAAGATCACCCAGGTTTTTAATCTTGCAAGATGGAACAGCGTTGAAAACCGGCATACAGGATGCTGCATCACGTCCGGATCACAAACTCTGCCCACAGGCAGTATAGTGTCTTTTTATAATGTTATCAGACAAAAAGTTATTGTAGCTAAACTGCACTACTACCAAGACTGCATGGAAATATTACAGGGTGCACGCAGTTGTGGCTTGCTCTGCTTCAAGGATTCATCGATCACCATGCAGCAGGTTATGCAGCAAGTGTGGCCGGGGCTCGGGCAGCATTCACAGAGGTGAAGAGGCTTCTTCGCAGCTGGTGAGATGTTCGCTATGGGATACTTTTTTCCTGTGTGGCTTCGCATCAAACACAGTAGCTATGTTTACATGTGCAAAATTATTTGACCAGATTGAAATGTTTTCAGATTAAGTCATTCAAATGTATTGTTTACATGGGCACAATCCGTTTACGACGAGCGTGTACATGCAGAAGGCTTTTATTTAGGGATGGGGCCGACCCAGTATCGGTATCGGCCTCCGATACCAGCATAATTTACGTAGCGGATTTTCCGATCCACCTGCTGATATTTCCGATCCATGATGCATGTTGGCTTCAAACTATGGAATGGATTTCCTGAACAGTGGCGTGTCTCATGAACCCAGAGTAATAAGACCCGCCTCACATTCAGGAAATCCAGTTCATAGTTTGCAGCCAGCTACAATGTGACGACTGAGTTAGCAGCACTGTGGCTAACAGCTAACCAACTTTTCATCGCAACATGTCCGCTGTGTGGAAGTATTTTACACTACAAACACCACAAAACAAGACAGCAACGTGCAATATCTGCAGATTCATAGCGCCATATTAGACCGCGGTAAAGTTAGTTTTACGATGGACATTCGAGCTCTGTGGCTTCAGCGGGGCAGTACTCTTTGGTCAAACTGAAAGAGGCGACTCGACACCGTCCAGCCGCGTCCAATCTGCCCCACTCAGTCTGCCTGTCTCTGAGAAGGGACAGACTGAGCACGGCTGCCCCAAATCAGGCTGCCTGCTTCGGATTGAACAAGAAGTAGACGTCGCTGAAACCACGGAGATCAAATGTTTACAGAGAAGTTGCTAAACTTCATCATAATTAATGACCAACCACTATCAGTTGTAGAAAACGAATGATTTTGCAGCTTGATACTTGCAGCCAAGATATAGTTTACCCTCAGGAGATATTTATCAGTACAACAGCAGACAATCATAAAAATCATCCATCCATCCATCCATTTTCTTTATCCGTTTATTCCATTTTGGGTCACGGGGGTCGCTGGTGCCCATGTCCAGCAATCACTGTGCGAGGGGCGGGGTACACCCTGGACGGGTCGCAAGTCCATCACAGGGCCACATAGAGACAAATGAGACAAACAACCATTCACTCTCTCACTCACACCTAGGGACAATTTAGAGTTACCAATCAGCCTAACATGCATGTTTTTGGACTGTGGGAGGAAACCGGAGTACCCGGAGAAAACCCACGCATGCACGGAGAGAACATGCAAACTCCACCCAGAAAGGCCCCTGGATCGGGGTTTGAACCAAGGACCTGCTCGCTGAGAGGCAGCAGCTCTACCAGTTGCGCCACCGTGCTGCTCATAAAAATCATATGATTTGAAAATTATATATATTAAAAACATAAACAGCTACATTATAAAGTGATGTAAAATACTAAAAACAGGAACATGTCTGTTGGTTTATGCCATGAACTTAGCAGATGTTTGAAGCCATTTAACATTTAATTTAATTCATTTATTCATTCATTTAAATGAAACAAAATTTTAAAAAAAATCTTCAAAAAGAAAACATTGAATGAAAAGAGTGCAGAAAGAAGAAAAAAAATCTTATATCTGCCCCTTATAAAATATAAAATAACTTTAAACAATCACTTAAATTAATCACTTTAATATCCACTTTAAAGCTAGGAATAAAAAGAAACATGTTTTGTGTTAGCAGAATTTAATTCTAACTTTAAAACTTATCCAACATTAATAAAACTTACCTCAAGTTGCCTTTTTGGACATGCATGCATAGATTTGTACAAATTGTACTTGAGAGGAGATTATTACAGCCTCATATAAAATCAATGATGATCATGATATCGGAACCGGATCGGTATCGGCCGATACTCAGCTCTAGGTATCGGGATCGGATCGGAATTTTTAAAAAAGTGGATCGGTGCATCCCTACTTTTATTAAGAACAAAAGTACTGACATGCGCAGAGTCGTAAACTTCCCTTTAAAAAAACACAGAAGTTCTACTACTAGGTTTACTTTTGAGATGAACGTAAGCAAACCTGATGGTGGAGAAGTTGCTGCACTCCCTGTCTGAGCTACAGATCATTTTGAGCTCTTTCAAAGTTTCTAGTAATGTTGTGTCGCTCACCAACCAGTTTTGTTTCCCTAACATGCTAATATTATTAGCATCTAGCCAGGCGGAAATACATGAGGTAGACAGGTCGCACATGTGCAGTCAGATCACTTTTCCACAATAGGAAAAAAATGACAGATGAAATGTTTACATGCACACTGTTCAGATTATGAATCGACATAAACCACCCGTCTCATTCTGATTACAAATTCTTTCAGCTCGAGCTGAATCAACAAAAAATAATCCGAATGTGTTGTTTACATGACGCATTTTTATTCCGAATGGCCGTTTAATTCGATTACTTATGTCCATGTCAAGTCAAGTCAGATTCATTTATAGAGCACATTTAAAACAGAAACTGTTACCAAAGTGCTTAACAAAAATATCACAACATCAAATGAAAAGTAGCAAGATATATTTACAGCACATGGAATAAAAATATAAAACCGAAAACATAATTAGAAACAATGAAATACTAAATCAGATCACGTTGTGTCAAAAGTAAAGGAAATAATAACAAAAAGCATAAACTCAGTCAGAAACAATGAAATACTAAATCAGATCTGATGACCTTGTGTTAAATAGGAATAATAACAAAAGCATAAACAGAATCAGTATCAATGAAAAACTAGATCTAAATCCAATCACCCTGTGTTAAATGTCAATGAGTATAGATGTGTTTTTAGGAGAGTTTTAAAAGCAGAGACTGAGGTGGCCTGTTGAATGTTGATGGGCAGATTGTTCCAAAGTTTAGGGCCCACGACTGAAAATGCTCGATCTCCTCTGAGCTTCAGCCTGGTTTTTGGTACGGCCAAAAGCAGCTGGTCTGATGATCTCAAAGCCCGAGAAGGAGTATAAGGATGAAGAAGGTCAGAGAGGTATGATGGCGCAAGGCCGTTAATGCACTTGAATGTCAGCAGGAGAATTTTAAAATTGATTCTGACACGCACAAGAAGCCAGAGAAAGGAGGACAGAACCGGAGTAATGTGCTCAAACCTGTGAGTTCCTGTTAGTAGCCGAGCTGCAGCATTTTGTACGAGCTGGAGACGTGAAAGTGAAGCCTGACTAACCCCAACATAAAGTGAGTTACAGTAGTCCAGCCGGGTTGTAATAAATGCATGGACTAGTTTTTCAAGTTCGGATCTGGACAGAACGGACTTAAGCTTTGCTATTTGCCTTAGCTGAAAGAAGCTTTTTTTGTAGAACAGAGTTGATCTGTTTATTAAACTTAAAGTCCGAGTCTAACACTACACCAAGTTTGGTAACCGACTGCTTTAGATGTGGCTGAAGGGAGTGCAGGTTTACAGGATCAGTGACAGCGGTAGAGCTTGGGTTAAACACAATGACCTCAGTCATTTGATCATTAAAACTCAAGAAGCTTGCAGCCATCCAAGTCTTGATGTCATCAAGACATTTTAACAAAGGGTGGATGGAGCAGGAACTGTTTGGTTTTAAAGGCAGATAAATCTGAGAACAGCGTAACAGCATATCATCGGCGTAACAGTGAAACGAAATACCATGTTTCCTCAGGATTGACCCCAAGGGGAGCAGATACAATGAGAACAGAAAGGGTCCAAGAATGGAGCCTTGTGGGACCCCACAGGAAAGAGGGACAGAAGCAGAAAAATGATTGTCAAAGTTAACACAGAAACTCCTGTCACCCAGATACGAACGGAACCATTCTAGCGCCACCCCTGTAATCCCAGCCCAGTGTTCTAGCCGAGACATAAGGATGCTGTGATCAACAGTGTCAAATGCAGCGGTAAGATCGAGGAGTACCAGGATCACAGACTGACCAGAGTCATTCGCTAGCAGAATGCCATTACAGACCCTTACTAAAGCTGTCTCGGTGCTGTGCAGTTTAAATCCTGACTGAAAAATCTCAAAAATTTAATTTACATTCAAAAACTTGGTTAGTTGACTAAAAACTATTTTCTCCAAGATTAGAAACAGATTGTAAACATAGCTAGTGAGGTAGACATTCATATATCATAACCTGAGTTACTACCTTGCAGCAGCGATGCCATGAAAGCTGTAGAAAGGCTGGTTGAACAGAGGAGCACCAAGTGATTCAAGGACATCTGTCCTTCTGCCATCCAGCCCAACAGAGTCACCATGAGAGAAGCCAACAGACCCAACACTGTGGCTTGTAGCTGTAAAACAATAACACAACATAGCTTTTATATATGCATTATTAAAGGATAAACTTATAAATAACTATATGTATCGTCTCAAGTGAAAACATTCACCTGTTTAAGTGCCAGGTTCCCAGAAATTAGCAACCACTTTTCTCTGGCAGGTTCCAGTTTCCCAGCATTCACCTGAAAACATCCAATGTGTATAAAGTTACTAAAAAAAGGAAACAATCGGTTTGCAATGCCAAAATATTGCACCTTACTAATTTAGCTGATGAAAAACGTCAGAAATGCTGATTAGATAACCTGGAGATTATTTGAGCAAGTAAACTTTTAAGTGCAGCAGCAGACAAATTTAATTGACTGACTTATTTATTTCATTCACAAGTAAATGTAAATTCATGTAATGAAACTATTAATGAATGGTATGACTCAAATTTCACTTACACAGTTATTACAGAGGTGGAAAAAGAGTTACACTGAAAAACTGTCCAAAAAGTGATAACTAAAGTAATTCTCTAAAAGCAAGCTAAGAAATATTACAGTAAAAAGTAGCATCAAGTTGTCAGAATCTAAGATAAAACTTGTGAAGATTTCATTTTGGGTGATTTTTAAACGTTTCAATACGTTTTACTCTAAATATGTTTGGACAAGAAATTGGTCTGTGTGAAGAAAATGTGTCCATATGCCCATTCTGTGTACGCTATAACTATGCTGTGTTGAATGATGATGAGCTGTGTGGTAGTGTGCGATAACTGATAAAACAGCTTGCAGAGGCAGAATGACCTTGTGGCTGTCAGTGGGAGCATTTTGTGCAGCTAGATAAGCCAGTTGAAACATTCCTTTTCAGTAGTGTCTCCAATGGAAATCTTTAAGAAAAAAAGGTCAAGTGTTTATTTTCTCACTCCCACCTGAAAGATTGTGAAACCTGCCTTGTGAAGATATCAGAGTCAGAGTCAGAGTTTCTTTATTGTCATTCGCACCTCATGTGGTACATGT